ATCCACGCCTATGTGACGTCCTTGAAAAATATTCTTTAAAAAATCCACGCCTATGTGACGTCCTTGAAAAAATATTCTTTAAAAAATCCACGCCTATGTGACGTCCTTGAAAAAATATTCTTTAAAAAATCCACGCCTATGTGACGTCCTTGAAAAAATGTTCTTTAAAAAATCCACGCGCATGAAAGGAGCTTGAATATTGTTTTTAATCCACGACCTTGAAAGTCCTTTAAAATGGGTTTTAAAAAATCCTCGCCTGTTGAGGTCTTTCAAAAAGGGGTTTTTGAATATATATTTTCCTACGTGTATTTTTGATCTACATTGCAGATTAACCCTGAAACATTTGGCCCCTTCTGGACTACTGTGCAATATTCTACAATCCTTAATATTATTGTCGTTTGTTTACGGGTTTTATTGGGTAACAGTTTTAATATCTCTATCTGTATTTTTAAATCTGCTTGGTTTTGTGAACCTGCCTGTCTGGGTGTTTCAGAATAAAAGAAAGGTTGGTTATACTGCCCATCCCTGGTGCTGTCCATCCATCCCATTGCAATTTGGTTCTTATTGTTGTACTTTATGTGGTATCCGATACTCTCGTTACAGAAGTCTTCTTAAAAAAAACGGAATTCTATCAGTAGTCAAAGATCTGTTATTTGTGGGTTGGGTTTGCATATTTGGTGGGGAACATTCCAAACTTTTCTTCACGAACCATCCCCCCATATGGTATTGAGTAAATTCAGTATTTCTTTGTCCTGATAGTAATCTTTAACAAGAGATACACCCTTTCGAAATGGATGAAGTAGTAAACATCCAAAGTAATGCCAAAAAAAATATTTTGGGCGAGTTTTCACCAAAAAAAGTGTTGACCAGCCTTCTTTCCTTTTTTTGGTGTTTTTTGTTTTAATTTTTTATTCTTTCGCCGGTGTGTGGAGAATGTGAAATAATTTCGGGGGGAATATCACAAGAAGACATCTGTCGATGGTATTAAAAACTGTAAAATGTTCATTAACAAAATTTTTTCGTTTGTTAATTATAACATTTGTAAATGCCATCGCCATCATCAAGGAGTTCGAATAAAAAACGAAATCCAAGAAATAAATAATGAAAATGTAAAAAAAAATCGCAACAGCAGGAATGTTCGTGACAAGCACCATAACTGGTCGAATATTACTTTATTACGTACATAACTATTTCAATTGCTTACAAATTTCAAAAGATTATCTTTTCAGGTTTTCTTTTTCTTTCTTCGTCTGATTCTCCTATTTGCCATTGAAATCATATCTGAGCTCACTCATATTCCACACACGCCATAGTTGAGTGTTGTCGATCAACAAATAGCTAGGATTAGTTGCAATAAAGGCTGTTGAGAAAAAAAATAACCATTGAGGGATAATTTTTTCTTCCGTGTTTATTTTTCTTCATTCTGCTTTTTTTGAAGTACACTTTGGATTTTTTACATCTTGATTTGAGTTTTGTTGTTGGTTGTCGTTACCCAAGGCTAGAAGCAAAAGAAAAAATACAGAATAACTTGACAGGGATAACACTTCTTCATATCAGTAAGGATAATCATGTTTCTGACGCCAGCTATTAAGGCATTAAACGATTACTGTCAATATTGATGTGGAAAAACATGACATGACATATGAAAGGAAAATTATAGGTTTTTCACAATTTTTTGTGAAGGCATAGGGGGTTAGGTGTTGGTTAGGTGCATGATTTTTTTTTTTTTAATTTACAAGAACAATTGAAGTTAAATTGTTGTGTTTTCTGAAAATAAAAAATGAAGCTATGGAAAATCGTAACTATGAACTAGTAAGCGGAGCTGTATATTCGGGCGGGTCTGACCATAGAATACCCAACACAATTTCAACTACTACGAGCCAGACAAAACTTCGCTATATTCTCCAGTGTGGTATTGGTAATAATACAAAAAAAGACTAAGATCCCTAATCATATACTATTCATCGCTGACCAGGTCCCCTTTTCCCTGTAAAATTTTATTATGATCAGGTCATAATTATGACTGCAAGAGCGCTTGTAGCAACAAGCAAAAATAAAATTTTTCGACAATTTCTTCTGAATATCATCTGATCACTACCGAAATCTTAGAAGCCCTTCTTCAACATAACCAGTACTTGATGTAAAATTTTATTGCGATCAGATAATACTAAAAAATACCATACTAGGTAGCTGGCTTGTTAAAGAACGGTTCGTAAGACGGGCTAAAAAAAAAAATCCATGCACGTCAGTCTTGTGCGTCCTTCTATCGGATTCGTGGCTTTCCCCGTCTGCCTGAACCATCACATTGCTCGCTTTTATATGCCTTTTGAGCTGGATCAGTCTCATCCATTCTCCAAACATGACCTAGCCACCGTAGTCGCTGCAGTTAGATACGTTTGACTACGTCCGCGTATCCGGGATGTCCGGGAATAGATGGCATTGCTCATGGTTCATTCGACAGCGATATTCGGCAGATAGGCCCACAGATCTTTTTTTAGAACACACCTTTTTATTATTTATTTAAGAAAAAACCTACAGTAAGAAATAATTTCATAAAACAATGTGTTTTTGTTATCGTACATGAAAATAATCCATATTTTTGAAACACTCCCCGGCGTTGGGAATATTCAAATGTTTGCTATACTAGACTTATTACTGCGATATTTCTTCCTATTGCGAAAACATCTCTGCATCACTATGATACGTTTGAGTCTTCTCTGAAGACGTTGAACTTCGTTTTGGATTGTCATCATTGTAGACGTGGTTTCATCTGTTGTGATAGATTCGTTATTCACATTATGGCTGGAACGTCGCTTATGTGAGGACTTTTCTGTGTTTGTGACTACATCAGCATTGCTGGTGGTACCCGTCGTCGTAGTCCTGGAAACTGCGGTGTTCGACGACATTATGGATACATTTTTCTGTGAATTCCTCCGTGTATTTGTTGCCGAATTTACATTTTTAACCGGTGAACCAACTGGGGTTGTTACTGATGCAGGATTCGAACCATACTCATTATCTTCGTTTAATGATTCAATTCAATGACAAACTTGCTTGTGGAATTGTTTTCTTTTCACCATTCGCCAATAACGAATTGTTCTCTATATTATCATTAGACCTCGGATTTTTGCATATTTTTTATGCTTTATCCGATTGGACTCAAATTTTGTATTTAGGCGTTTCATGCTTTAATTGATCGATATTTGGGGTCATGTCAAAAATATGCAAAAAATATGCAAAAAATATGCAAAATATATGCAAAAAATATGCAAAATATATGCAAAAAATATGCAAAATATGCAAAAAATATGCAAAATATGCAAAAAATATGCAAAATATGCAAAAAATATGCAAAATATGCAAAAAATATGCAAAATATGCAAAAATATGCAAAATATGCAAAAAATATGCACGGTATGCTAGGTCGATATGCGATAAATATATGCAAAAAATATACAAAATATGCATTGTCGATATGCAAAATATGCAAAAATATGCAAAATATGCAAAAATATGCAAAATATGCAAAAATATGCAAAAATATGCAAAATATATGCAAACATATGCAAACATATGCAAACATATGCAAACATATGCAAAATATGCAAAAATATGCAAAATATGCAAAAATATGCAAAATATGCAAAAATATGCAAAATATGCAAAAATATGCAAAATATCCAAACATATGCAATATATGCAAAAATATGCAAAATATATGCAAACATATGCAAACATATGCAAACATATGCAAACATATGCAAAATATGCAAAAATATGCAAAATATGCAAAAATATGCAAAATATGCAAAAATATGCAAAATATGCAAACATATGCAATATATGCAAAATATGCAAAAATATGCAAAATATATGCAAACATATGCAAACATATGCAAACATATGCAAAATATGCAAAAATATGCAAAATATGCAAACATATGCAAAAATATGCAAAATATGCAAAAATATGCAAACATATGCAATATATGCAAAAATATGCAAAATATGCAAAATATGCAAAAATATGCAAACATATGCAATATATGCAAAAATATGCAAAATATGCAAAAATATGCAAAATATGCAAACATATGCAAAATATGCAAACATATGCAAAATATGCAAACATATGCAAAATATGCAAAATATATGCACGGTATGCTAGGTCGCAATATTAAAGATAGAACTTTGAAATTTTGCACATATATTATTATTACTCCTAGGATGTTTGGTATTGGAAATGGGATATATCGGTCCACGTTTTAGTATATCGCCATATAACGGTTATATATGTTTGCATGTTTTATACATATATTTAGCAAATTTTTCATAATGCCCCAAAAATCTAACAGTTGATCCATGAAACGCATACATACACAATTAGATTTCTATAGGTTAAAAATAAAGAAAGCACACAAATTCGAAAACTACCCTGAATTTTTTTTTTTTTTTGATTAAAATGATTGCATATGTGAAATATGTTGCTCATATTTGCACATATTTTGCATATTTTTGCCTATATTTTTCATATTTTTTGCATATTTATAGCATATCGACCTAGCATACCGTGCATATTTTTTGCATATATTTTGCATATTTATCGCATATCGACCTAGCATACCGTGCATATTTTTTGCATATTTTGCATATTTTTGCATATTTTAGCATATATTTTGGATATTTTATGCATATATTTTGCATATTTATTGCATATCGACCTAGCATATTTTGCATATATTTTGCATATTTTGCATATTTTTTGCATATTTTGCATATATTTTGCATATTTTGCATATTTTTCGCATATTTTGCATATTTTTTGCATATTTTGCATATTTTTTGCATATCTCGTGCATATGCAAAATATGCAAATATGCAAAAAATTAAAAAATATGAACCCTTCAAATAATTCTAAATCCTTTGAAACGAATTTGTGTCCAATCAGAATTTCGATATCTTCATTATTAAAAAATATGCAAATATGCAAAATCCGAGGTCTAATTATCATGGGTTGATTCCAGAGCTTTTACTGCTGTACTATTTTCGGACTCGAAGGAATCAGCATTTTCATCTTCCGCCCCTTGATTCCTATTGATATCTCTTATCTTAAGTAAATATGCCTCTACTTCTCGTTCCGTAACCTGACTAGGTTCCCATATCAGCAAGTCCTCATTTTCATATGGCAAAATATCCCCGTACTGAGAGAGTCCAGGGATAAAGGCCTGGTATGAAGAACCTATCATTACTTTCTTCTTGTATTCCTCATCTTCTTCATCATCAACACCCTCCTCCTCCTCGTCATTTTCCACGCCGTAAAAAGTTTCCAAGGGAATGTCTTTTTCTACGTCGCCCACATTGCCAAATGTACCTTCCGGATACAAATCCAATAAATGGGTTCTTCCTACTGTCGGTATATCAGTTTCATCGACATTTTTACATTCGTCGTCTTCTACCGTTTCATCGTCGTCCTCCTCCTGTAGTTTGTCTTGTTCGGTCGAAGTTTTCTCATCATTACTTTCGCTAGTGATTGTATAGTCCTCGTTGTTTTTCACAACGTCCGTGTTTGATTTAGACGCCACTTCCTCCTCAATCCTTATCCTTTGCTTATCACCATCTTCCTCATCACCACCACAAACGTCGTCTGCTGAGACAGCCGTTGGCAGTGATCTCTGTTTCGTTTTGTGTTTCTTCTTGCTGGATTTTTTGGATTTCTTCCGAAGTGGATCTTCATACTCCATAGGCGGCAATGCCTGATACTTAGCTAATAGTTCTTCCAAAGGAAATTCACTTTCTTGCTTTAGAGTATTGATTTCCTCCTCGGCATCCACCAGTGCTCCTAGAGCTTCTTCTTCTTCTGGATAATTTTTTTTTCAAACACTCCAAGAGCTGCCTCATCTGCTTGCCCAAGTACCCATGCTTCAGATCAATCATACAACAGCACGGATAATAGCAGTGTCTTGTGGAGTGTGAGTTTCGTGTGGCGAGAGGTGGCCTTGTTCTTAAATTGCTTACTCTGATCATAGTATCATCTCTTGGCCAACACTATCCTTCTCCGGATTTCAAAGCTGTTATTATTAGTTTTGTTTATGGCGGTACTGAGGTATATAAAATCGTTCACTACTTCGAAGCTGTAGTTTTTAAGTTCCACACATGGTCCTAGTCTATTGGACGTCTTGCGCTTTGTTTCATCAGCATGGTCTTCTCGTAATTTGCTGCCAGTCCATTTCGTCAGACTCCTTCTCAATTTCTTCAAAAGTGACTGTTACCGCTCGCAATATTCGACCCATTATGTCGATGTCATCGGCATATACGAGTAACATGGGCTGTTTGGTGTACATAGTACCATTTCTGTTCGCTTTTGTATCTCGTATGACCTTTTCCAACAGGATGTTAAAAAGGTCACACTACAAATTGTCATACTGTCGAAAACCTCATTCGGTATTGGAGGGCTCCGAGAAGTCCTTTCCGAAATTAGCACTGACCTTGTCCCTGTTAAAGTTATCCTGCATAGTCTTATTAATAAGCAATGCCGAATGCAAACATAGATTTGAAGACCTCTGAGAATAGGATAGGGATATGACTGTTGAATGCGGATTTATATTCTACGGAATGTGTCGATGTGTTTTTCGTGAGTTTTTTCCACTATTTGGCGCAGTGTAAAAATGTGGTCTATGGTGGATTTGATAGGTCTGAAGCCGCATTGGTATGGTCTAATAATGTCATTGACCATTGGTTAAGTACTTCACACAGCACGCTGGATATCACTTTATTCATGATGGGAAGGAAATTTATTCATCTATAGTTGGCACATATCGTATTTTTTGCACGGGATACAGGATGCTGAGGTTCCAATCATTGGGCATGTATTCCTCTAGCCAAATTTTCTGATCACCGGTCTTGAATAATTCGGCTGCTTTATATAGTTCGGTACATGCTGCTTTATTATTCTTCAGCCGATTGATTCTAATTTATGCAGGGTATAATAACTTCAAGGTTTGCACAGTTGTATCGGCTGTTTAATTTAATTTATTTTATTGCAAAGAGGACTTCAAGGCCCATAGGTACGCGCACATGCGAACCGTTTAGACGTAAATAGAAAGGTCTCTTGATATAGTGGATATATCTAGAATTGTTTGGAATATATCTGAATTCTGTATTGAAAGAGAACATCGATACCTTTCTACTGATTAAACGGTGGTTAATTAAAAAAATGTCAGTATGGCAAACAATGAATTTTAATTCGAGTTACCCCTGATTCGGGGCTCATAATATTTATTAAGGGGTCAATGACTTAATGTACTAAATATAGTACTTTTCTAAACCTATAATAGTTATTTTCTCAAAAACAAAGACCTCTTTGACATTTTCACCACGATTTCTAAAATCTATATAAAAATCATCAGTTCAGAGTTTTAGGTCAGTCCGTTTGTAACTAAGAATTCAACACAAAAAATTACGGAGGAAAAGTAAACAAATTAATGTACATTCTTAACCATTTACGCTATCGTATAATTTTGGGAAGTTTTGGGCATCAATGGTAAAATTTTTTGTAAATTTTAGTACCTTTATTGTACGAATTTCCTTAAACCTAGTCTTATATCAGGATTGTTTCGTATCCCAGTCTTAACACACAATATCGAAGCTTCAGACGCTTCGCCCGGCCATACATATTCATAGGAAAAAATATCTGAGGTACTACACTAGTTCCACTTCCAACAAGGCAAATACTAACTTATTGCATTGCAGAGTATATTTTTACCTTTCTTCTTTCCAAAAATGATTTTGTTTACATTTCTTCTGTTCTTGTGTTTTTGTTTCTTTCACAGCACTTAACACGCATTCTAATTGCACAAATGAACAAAACATATTTTCACCGTTGTTTTTTTTCAGAACTCTTTGTCTTTCAATTTTTTGTTGTTGTTATATGCTTGAACTCCACGGTGATTTTATACTCCTATATGTCTGTTTGTCTGTCTGCATGGCAAGTTTTTCGCCTTCTTTATCTTTATAAATGCGTGTGTGTCTGTTTACATACGTGTGGGAGCTTATATTCCCGAAAAAAGGGTCATAACAAAAAAATCTTTGACTGAGGGGAATATGTAGTATGTACGAATGTGTGGTGTACTTTCATATATTCTGCGAGCATGGAAGTTCCTTCAGGAGTTCGTTTTTATATCGCATTACAGTGGGTTTGGAAGGAAAACATTCACGCATTGTTCTGGTCCTTGAAACATATTTTTAAAAAATATACGCTGATTAAAATCCACACATATTAAAGGTCCTTGAATTTTTTAAATCTATTCATATCAAAGGCCCTTTAGAAAATAATTAAAAAAACGACTATTAAAGGCCCTTTAGAAAATAATTAAAAAAAAACCGACTATTAAAGGTCCTTGATTTTTTTTTTAAATCCTATTAAAGGTCCGTTAATATTCAGTACAGCCCTTCTTATTACTTGTCAAGATTGACTTCAGCGTGGGTTGTATGGCGATGATCGGCCTATAGATCGATTCGAAGAATTGCAACAAATTAAGTTTTCGATCCACTTCATCCCAAAATTCAGATTCACCGAAAATTATAAGCGCTGTCCTTGAACATAACAGTGGTAATGTCCTTGACCCTCTAGTGTGGTAATGGGTTGCTAAATAATATATGAATACGTAAGCACCTTTAAATATTTAAGTGTAACTCCCACATCCGAGTGCGTACGACAATATAATTGATATCAATTTCAAGGTCAGCCACTCCTCATAGATATACTATCAACTTCTCGGGTCTATATCCTTCAGGAGTAAATGTATACGCCACACAAAGAGTCCATTTGACCCTCTAAATATGGGCCGATCTTTATGAAAACAGGCATGCTTATTCTTTGGCCTGATCCCCTTCTCCATGGAAAATTTCACGATGTTGGGGCCATTATTGCGGCCTCTGGAGCGACCAGAAAAACGGACAAAAATTTAGTATTCGGCCCATTTCATCCCCTAAACATCAAACGATCTTTACCAAAAACAATAGGGGTCTTCATTGGCCAGAAACCATTCAACATGCAAAATTTCGTGAAGATTGGTCCATAACTGTGGCCTGTATCGTGTTTACAAATTATAATCGACAGACGGACGGACACACATGCCTAGATCGACTCAGCTAGTCGAGATATGACGATCGGTATACTTAAAGGTGGGTCTAGGACCAATATTTCGCGGCGTTACAAACTCTTTGGGGCTGCACAAAGCTATAATACCCTGACAACATAGTTGTGTAGGGTATAAACACGCCTATTAAAGGTCCGTTAAAAAATAATTGAAAACCAGTAAGGAAAGTAGTAAAGTCGGACTGGGCCGACTATATGATACCCTTCACCACTTTGGGTATATTCTACATATGTATCCTAACAGACGTCGTGTGTTTGTATAGATATATAACAAACACGCGACGTCTGTTAGGATACATCTAGACTTAATTCAGTACGCTATGACAAATTTCGTGCAAATCGAATGATTTTCGGAGACTCTGGTGCACCAACTACCTAAAATCGGATGAATATATATATATATATATATATATATGGGACCTATAACTAAATCTTAACCTATTTCCAAGAAACTTTGCACACATCATTCTAGACTTAATTCAGTACGCTATGCCAAAATTCGTCAAATCAAAAGATATATTGGGACTTTGGTGCACCATTTACATAAAATCGGGCGAAACAATATATGGGAGCTATATCGAAATCTGAACCGATTTTCATGAAACTCAGCACACATCATTCTAGGCCTAATTCATTACGCTGTGCCAAATTTCGTGCAAATCGAAATATATATCTTTCGGGACTTTGGTGCACCATTTACATTAAATCGGACGAAAATATATATGAGAGCTATATCTAAATCTGAACCGATTTTTCCCAATTTCAATAGGGTTCGTCTTTGGGCCAAATAAGTGACATATGCCAAATTTCATCCAAATCGGATCATAAATGCGACCTGTACTTTGTTCACAAAAATTCATGGACGGACGGACAGACGTCCGTTCGTCTGTCTCTGGACATGCGAAAATCAACTCAGAAAGTGATTCTATGTATATTCTCAAAAGGAACCATGTGTCTATCTTGTTTCCTTTTGCCTGTTACAAACATTTGCACAAAGACATAATACCCTGTACCACAGTGTGGTGAAGGGTATAAACATGCCTATTAAAGGTCTCTGAAAAAATTAAAAATTCACACCTATTGATGTCCTTGAAAAAGTATTTTAAAAAACCCATGCCTATTAAAGGTCCTTGAAAAAATATTCTTTAAAAAATCCACGCCTATTAAAGGTCTTTGAACAAATACTCGTTAAAAAATCCACCCTTATTAAAGGTCATTGAAAAAAATAATTTTAATTATCCTGATCTCTCGAAAAAAAGTTGCAGTTTCTCCTATGCTAACCACAGTTCCTTTGCAAACTTATCCTGATCCATGCAGTATAATACATTACTGCTTCATGCATATTGAGGGCGAGTTGCTCCTATGTGTTTTTTTCATCTTTGTTTTTGGTTCGTTTTCATTTCTCCATTTACCAATCTGACTGAAATATGTACTGAGATTTACTGGTTGTTGGTTTCGGTTGCCGTTTGGCATTCCCTTTTTTCTGCCGGTCTTCCTCCTACTTCAACACTTTGGTTGCAGTTCCTGGGTGAAACATTATCGTTGCTGAGCGCTTCACAAATAATAATGTTGTTGCCGCCTTATTTACTCATGTTGTTGTTATTGCTGGTGGTGTTGTTGCCGTCGTCGTTGTTGTTGCTAAAGGATTATTTAGGATAATGTGTCTGAGGATTTTTAATAAGGCTTCTCGCCAGAGAGTG